ATTAAAATTAAGCGAGATATCGAAGGTCAAAGATCGAAATTCGCTTTTTGGAAAACCGTAATATCTCAAAAACTAGTAAAGCGTTTGTAAAAGTTAATATATAGTTTTAAAGGAAATTAATACACCTTTCTTTGGTCTGCATCAAACGTCAAACGTTGTGACATCCCTACTGTAAGCACTCCTTTCTAGCAGTCGTCGCAAAACTTTACAGGTGTTGCCAGATATTTCTTCTTTGCGCCCATTTTTTATATTGTTACTATTATCCTCGAAACGTTGATGGATTTTCCAAATATCTTACGGCGCGAATCTCTGGATTGTTAAATAAACGCTTACTATGACCAAACTACAGTACAATTAACTTTATTGTACAATAAAAACTTAACAATACTTGTTTATGCAATAACAACAATTAACAGTACTTGTTAAGGCAATTAAAACACTTTACAAAACTTGCTTGCTGATTCGCAACTCACTTTACTTGGCGCTTGCTAACTTGTAACTTACTCACTCCGGTGTCTGGTGGTAGAATGTTCTGAAGTTCATCGCTCATTCTTTCGCTGTTCGCAGTGTTCATCCAACTTCACGTTTCTCTTTGTGGAACATTCTATATCATTCCTCAAACATTCTGCCTATTTCTCGTAGACTCGTAAAAACATACCTTTGAGTGTGACAAAATGTATACGACGTCGTATTCCAATTTTGAATGGGAAACAACAACACCATAGATTTTACGGTTAGAAAACGTTTATTTGGAACGAACTGTGAATACCCCAAATGAAAACGATGAGCCTCGCGCCACATCTGTCAAATTATTTTAACACATAAGCTGAAATTAGTCAAGAACGTAAACGTACCGGTGCGTCGACCCGTGTCAGCTGACACGATCTGTCTTACCAGAGCGCCATGTAAATGAAAACTCAACACCCCAGAATTTTCCTGTAGTTGTATCTCGTAGCGCAGAAATCTGCAGAATTTAGATTTTTTCCGTGTCAGCTGTTTTCTTCCTTCTATGGATGGTTGCCACTTCGTCAGTTTTGCAGATGGTAAAAAAGTTAAAAGTTCCTATTCAAAATATGTTTAAAATATTTGAAATTTACTATTGAATAAGGTTTTTGTTGAAAACTAAGTAGTTTATATTTAGCTACAATCTATTATAGAGCGAAAACTTGTAGTTGAAAAGGTAAGTATATGAAAAGGCATTGATAAGTGGCAACACTGTAGTAAGCAACACTGAGAGCTACAGTAATCGACAAAATTCTGCGAATACGGCCAGCGTTTAAGTATACGTTCTGCGTTCTTGACTAATTCCAGCTATACTCTTATGTAGATAATTATTTTGGCGTCGACCGGGCTATGCGACGACTGTGGTTGTGGCCAGATTCGATCTATTTCTATTTTTCCAGAGACAGATAAGGTTCTTCCTCTTCTTTTATGTCAAAGTCATACAAATTCATGATGTCGCTGCCGTGTTCAAAAAATCATGTCTTAATTGACAAGGCGGTAACAAATAAACAATAAAGGTAACAAATTGGAAGCTGCGGCCGGTAGCTCGTCGTTTTCAATGTGTTCAGAGCTTCATATTGGAATAACAGGGGGGAGGAAAAATTGCCGAATCCAAAACTGCTCTAGTATTGGGTTTCCATACGAGTATTTCTTTTTCGAAACCTACTCAGTACTTGGTTCAAAAGCATGATTCAATAATACAAGGTTAGATAATTATCGACAGCTGCGGTTTGACATCCCTTACAAAAGGTTGCATTTACGAAGGACGGAGAAAAGGGGAGGAATGAAATCTCTTGTTGCGAAAATGGTAGTAAAAAAGTACGCAAAGTAGGCAATTAGTAGTTAAATTCCTTTGGTAAATTCTAGTATACTTGCAGGAAATCTGGCATTTTAAACGAAATGTTGAACGTAATATTGATGTATCTATGTGAATTACTTAATTTATGTGCTATTTAGCTGTATAAAAACTGCAAAATGACTCAAAATTAAAATAAGACTACTATGAGATTGACGTAAACATCCAATTTAAAAACAGTTTGTTTTCATCAGTTAAATATGCTTCATATGCAAATACAAATAAACATATTGCACAAACGCTCATACTTCTATTTCACACCAAAGCTACACTGTTTCCATGTAAAGCCTGATTTGCAGCTCTCGAGAAAACGGTCAAGAAAAAAATTGTCATTATTTCGTGTGTGTGACCAAGGAATTTTGACAACTCATACTTCACTAGCCTGTTGGCTCCCTTTTTCCTCAAGAAATAATAGAACGGACAATTATTTCTGTTGCAAACATGGGTTGCCTAGTGCTCTTTTTTTCACAAAAAACTTTAGAAAACCGTAGTAGAAAGCGTAGAAAATTTCCTAAGAACAGCGTACTGTCTGCAGGAAATTTTACTCAAGATAATTTCTTAGCCATTTCTTGTACGTCATTTTATATCGAGTTTTTGCTTTTGTTGAGAGCTTCATATAGGCCTTAAATGTGCAAAGAAGCAACACGGTGCCACTGCTAAGGGAGCGGTGCGAGATAGACAACTGTCAGTTTATCGAACCTTGTATTATTTGGGGTGTTCACAGTTCGTTCCAAATTATGTCTGAAAATGTAGACGTCTACATTTTGAGACATCTTTAGCATCAAACTGTGAGCACCCCTTTCTAGCAGTCGTCGCAAAATCGTCTCAAAACTTTGCTGGTGTTGCCAGACATTTCCTCTTTGCGTGCATTATTTATATATCGCCTTTCGATTTTGTTTCTGAAAAATTGTAATTATTTAACTTAATTACCAATTCCTAATATTTGTTATTTCTTTTCCTTGATTTGTTTCTTTTCATCAGAAATTGCTCTCAAATTAAATGCAAATACAAAAAACGTGCCCAATAAATAAAAAAAAACGTGATTAGTATTGCCATAATGCAACCCTGCTGCGAGGTTGCAAAATGTAGACGCGTAAAAAACATACCTTTGAGTGTGACAAAATGTAGACGGCGTCGTTTTCCAATTTTGTATGGGAAACAACAACACCACAGATTTTACGGTTAGAAAGCGTCTTAAAATGTAGAAGTCTACATTTTCAGACACAATTGGGAACGAACTGTGAATACCCCAATTGAATCATGGTTCAAAAGTATCGATACAAAAATTACTTGGTATCGATCGAAAAGTGGCGAGCATGTACATGTGTTTACTCGTATCGTATCATCCCTAGAAAAAAAAACCAAAACAAAAACCAAAACACGTGTGTGGGGGTAATAAAACTCCACATATAGATATAATAGAACTTAACTA